AATAGCAATATTTTCCTGGCTGCTGGAGCTCCGAATCTAAAGTACCAATCATATTCACTTAATCCGTATCGGATTTTTTATAGAAAATATTTGACACGCGGTCCTTCCTATAAAACTAACGACTCGTAAGAACTTGTATCAGTAGGTATATCTTAATATACCTTAAGCAATGTTTGTTCAAATACCCAAACCTTTGTAATAGTAATACTTAGGGGGCGTCCATAAATTACGTGAGGTGTTTTTTTAAATTTTCTGTACCTCCCTCCCCCCTGGTGAGATGTCGTGAGATTTTATTCAACCCCCTCCCCATCCCCCAATCTCACGTGAGATTTTTCAAAATGTCGGTTTCTTACGTAAAAGCGTAAGAAGGTATCTTTTTGAGCTCGGAGAACTCAAAATAACACAGAATTCGTACTATTGAGCTCGAAGAGCTCAAAAACAAAATAAATGAAATGTTGAGCGTTTAGGTATGGAGTTAGCGGGAAGTTGCAGAGATGGCCTTTAGGGTCAACCGTTTTCCTAATTTTTTTTTTCAATCAGAAAAAAAATTGCGTGATATTTGCCGAAACCCCCCCTCTCTCCAACGTAAGATTAAATGAGATTTGACTCGACCCCTCCCCCTTAAACACCTCACGTAATTTATGGACGCCCCCTTACGAGAATGTTGAGAATAGTTGATGCAATTTGTTAGTCCTGCAAGATCTAGTTAAAGTACCTATACAATTACTTTGATGTATAACTAAACAGTTTATTATTATAATTTTACGCAACTCAAGAAGTTAATTCTCTGATATTAAACAATGGTTGTCATTTAAAACAATTTCAGAAAAATTCGAACAGATTTCACCATTTCTTAAATGGTTGTTATGCATTTACGCAATTAACCGGCACCGCTTTCTCTCAAAATTAAAATTTGCCGCGAAAATGGCAACTCTCAAAAACATCGTTTTGAGGAAAATATTCATATGTCAAGAGATATTTATTTATCAGATATTCATACTGTCATTTAGTTATATATTTTCTACCTTCTATATTTTAAACTCATAAGAAGTACTATATTTATGAGTTATTTTCATGATTGACTATAGTAAGAAAAAATATTGATTCGCTGGAAGACGAACCGAACCGTCCTACGCCATGAGCACGTACATATAACTATGCCCCAGAGACGGTAATTTAAAATATATTATTTAATATTAACGTGATACACACGTCATGAAAACGTATTTTTAGTTACTGTAATAGAATGCGAAATACTCATATTAAACAACCATTCTATGACTTGTATAGAAAACCGTAAAAATTGGTCACACACTACATATATATAGGGGAAGATTGTTACCCTTCGTACGCGGGGCACATTCATACAGTCGAAATAAAACTTGAACGAAACAAAGTACAGTCTTGTTTTTGTATGTGTGCATGAGTCGAGGTACGAACTATACATAATCGAAGTTTCGCGAAATTCGCACCGATGAGAATGAAGTTACAGGCATGGACGTGTTTTCGCGCTCGGTAAGTAATTTTTTGATCAATGTTTTTGTCTCTTGTTACCGTAGATAAAATAAGTTTTCGTGTAGAGTATTCTATCAGTAACTAGCAAAATATACTTAGATACGTCTCCAATACTTAATTTATGACGTTTTCCTATTAATATTAAAATAAGTTATATTTTGTTGTTATTCAGTTAGTGGGGTACTTTCGGACAGCACTAGATGGGGCACATTTGAACGAATTGTACAACTAAATTTGTATGAAAATATTTTGTCGACACGAACTGTAATTTTCATACAAATTAAGTTTTCGACTTGCTACATACAAATAATAATAAGGCATCTTGACTAAACCCTCTGGTAGGTAGGAAAGATTGTGTTAGTGTGCTAATTGCTCTAATATTTCCATTAACTTTGTCCTGTGTTGCTATCATTGCTATCGTCGATGTATTTTTATTACCTATTTTTATTATCTTTATTAAGGTTGATTTTGATGCATGTGAACCAGATGCTTTGAATAATTTACCAATCCATCAAATAGTAGTTCCTTCGAAGTCAGTTTTGACACCTTAAGGGTTTCGACTCTATACGCATGTTGTAAGAAGTAATAAAACAAACAAAATGACGACGGCCAGGAAAACCACGAATTTATACTGCCACACCCGAAAATAAGAAGTGCTAATCCGCACCAAAGATTAAAGAATGTGATTCTAAATTTAAGATACCTAACTAATTAAATTTTGGTTTTCTTAAGAAAAGCTATGTAATTTTTGTTCACTATAATTAAAGTATTTTATTTTTGTTTATTAGAAGTTAAATCTTTATTTTTGTGTTTAATTTCATTGCTAATAAATGAATTTTGATTTATATGTGTCGTTTTAATCGCACGTACGGAACTACCCCACAGCGTACGAAGGTACCCTCAACACTGTACGAAGGTGCCCCGTTGATGGGGTAGATTCGTACGTTTTCCAGATTTAGTTTAAATCATAATTATGGTTGAACCATCAGATGAAATCATTTGTCATTTTCTTATATGAATCTCAGATAGTTAGACTATAAATTTAAGCTTGCAGATGATTGATTCATGGAAAAATAAAATAATAAAAAAATAAAATGTGAAAACCGTACGAAGGGTCCCGACCTTCCCCTATATACTAGTGGACCCCACAGACGTTGTCCTGCATGATATTTAAAGCGATTAGGATATTAAGCAAAGTATGAAAGTACCGACTGCAGTGCCATCTGCCGGGCTGATTTGTGAATCTAAACCATTCCCAGATCCCCTTGAACACACACAAAAAATTTCATCAAAATCGGTCCAGTCGTTTGAGGGAAGTTCAGTCACATACACACGCACACAAGAAATATATATATTAAGATATATATATATATTATTATATTTGATGTGATGGTTGTCCTAACTCCTAACGCCTAGTTTGAAGAAAACATTTCGAGGTAAAAGATATTCGAAGAGATCAGTCTCTTTAAGAAATGTTATCTAAATGGAATATAGAATGGACCCGCTGTAAGATTACGGGACTATACAGAACGCCCACAATGTTTCTGCAACGTGAAACAATCGATTTGTTATCGATGTTGATAAGGTAAATCAGAAAATTCTTGAAATTCAATATCTGATTTGAATATAATGTATACCAGAAATAACACCTTACTTTTGCAAAAAGTTAATTTAGGTAGGTGGGTCTTAGTAGTATAATACTTTTGTGTAGAGATACTTTTACCATCGTCGTTTCAGTCTACCTTATATAGTCTACCTTCTCTAGATTGTCGTATTGAGTATGAAGCTCATTTATTCTAATTAATGAAAAAATAACTATAGGTGAAACATATTCTAAAAAAATATGTTCTAGAACACTCTTCTATATATTTATAACACATTTGTTCGTTCTTGTATCAAGCGTGGGCGATATTACTCGGGTTAGGGGTCAATGTTTTCACTTTCCTAGCAATTAATTTTTAGATGCGACCTTTAAACGTGAGGTCAAGTTAGTAATTCTTTAATATAACCTTAACATTTATTATATTTACACAAAAATTAGCCCCAACTATGCCTTGGGTACGAAAGCTAAACGGTGCGGTAGAGGACTGCGAAGACAAATTTGTTCACTGGTACGTAGGCGATAAAGCAATACATCAATTCAAAAATAATTATATCAATATATACTTTAATATTATTTTTCATGAATATTAGAGTAATGTGTACATTATATTTTACCGATGGCAAAAAGTAATGAACATAATAGTTTCAATAATCATTACGAAATAATGCTATTACTTAATACACAATTAAAATATTTATAAAGAGAAATTAAGTAATTAGATTGAGTTACTTATAATTAATCGTATTACCGAATTAGACACAAAAATAAAAATTGTTTTCCGTGTTTATTCTTAAATACCTGACATATTTGTAAACGTCATTCCATAGTCAGAACAAGATATTACAAATTCAAGGTCGTCCTGTTAGAATTTTCGTGACTAAATAATTATGAATCATTTGACAGCATTCGTATGTATTATGTTGAATTTTATAAAAAAATATTTTTATTAGTAATAATACAAATAGTTAAAAATGAAAAATATTATTAATAATATTATATTAATTTTTTATCATTATTTATATATTAATTTTATTAAATGACATATTTTATGTACACAAAACATCTGTTAAAGCAAGGCTTGAGACAGTCGACAGATACATTTTCGCACTAGTTTCGCTAGAAAGCTTTACCCAACCTTTATTATGAGTAACCATCAATAAAGTGTGTGTGCATTTATTTACCGATGATGTCAACACTTCATCTCGTCACAGCACCCAGTAGTCAGTACCCACCCACAAGATATACCTAAGGAGAAGTTTTAAACATTCTAACTTGTATTATAATGCTTATACTGAAGTTCCGTCGAATTTTTTGTCATCGAAATTAAAACATACTATGAATTAACAAATAAGTCGTTATTCTTATACGAAGAAACCTCGCCAACGCATATTTTAGGTTTTCCTTCTTAGGTAATAAATAAAATGCTGGGTTTATTTGTATGTATGAACGCCATTCCTCAACGTAGTGACCAGCTCTCGAAAGAAAGTCTTATGTGGTGCGCTCATAAAACTTTCTTTCAAAGTAGTAGATATTTTACACGTGACCTCGATAATTACAACTTAGATGTAGGTGACGTTATTACATAGGTAAGATACCTACTAAACACCGGTTACAGAACAGCTAACTAGACACAAACGAAGGACATTTGTCAGGTAGGTTCGCTAAACAATATATAGGTACTTTTTGTATCTTACAAACTGCGCAATGCCACTTGCAAAGATTATAAATAAGAATTAACACATGCTGCGTTCTCATGGGTGTTAAAATTATGAAATAAGTAGATACGAACGAACGCTATTTAAAGCCAAAATAAAATGACGCGATATATTATTTTATTTCAACGATTATGTATGCATAAAGCAAATATTTAAAAAATACATACCAATTCAATAAGTTTTAATAAGCCCGGTGTTGATTTAAAGTATTCTACGTCAATTTTGATCCAGTCCAATGCGCCGCCTTGTTGCTGTTGCGGCGACGCCGCTTGGTTAGCGGGTTTATTACTACCATCGACTGTTACCACTGTCTCGGGAGCCATCATTATTTTTCTTCAAACTTTGGGTATTAAAAAATTTATATTTATATTACGGCACACGAACACACACTTAAAACTTTAGCACATTTAAAACGCGTAATACATTTTCGTGCGGCGACTCGATCGTAGTATCGTGCGTACGGCGTGCAACTATAGAATGGCGGGGTACGGTGGTATTGGGTGGCGGCTGGCGACTAGAATGTCGACCGTCCTCGCGTCCCTCGCCGTGCTGCCTCGATTACCGCTAGAGAATGCACTCATTCAATAAAATCACAAACTCTGCTTGCAAGACAGCGGTAATATGACGGTATTGTAAAGTTCTTGGTTACACCCGGGGGTTCTATACAAAAGCCGTAATTAGCAATTGATAGCCATGATTTTATTTAGAATGAAGTGAACAAAGAAGTTTAAAAAATAGCTTGACACAAAAGAAAGAAATACATACAAAGAACTTGAACGTTATTCTGTATGTTTGTCACAGTTTACAACCTGTAGCATTTACTAAATTTTTGTGCGGTTTTAAGAGTCGCATTATTTAAGTAGGAGTATAGAGTAGGTAACTTACTCTATAGGTTATCTACTGTGATGGACTGGACTTTAGAGCAACACGGAGCATTCCATTTTTTAATACAATATTATTGTTATGTCAAAAACGTGCGCCTACCCATTTTTTACAGCAAATATGAAGTTCTTGTTGAATAAAATAATTAGCGCCAACATAGCTTAAGGCGCCAATATCTTTACATTTACAGATAACATTACACATTACAAACAGAAACTATTCCAAATAGTAGGATGTTATGGTACCTATCATTATAGCACACTATTACGATTATTTTTCCATCTTACTTCAAACTTCACACGCAAGACGCGATATGGCAACTAAGTTAACTATTTCAGTGTAGACTAATTTATGTAGCTCATTGCATTGATATACAAAAAACCCAAGATGCACACTCAACGTCAAAAAAACGTCCTCAAAAAATGAGCGCAACATTCTAAATTGTGCGCTCATTTCAAATAGTCTCGCGTCTACAGTGGAGTCGATGTTATTTATTTGTGTTTTTTTATAAATAAATTTATGTACTCTTGAACTTCTTTGTGTGTAGTTTTTGACAAATATATTTACGCTATATAAAGTGTGGGTCAGGAGGTAGCCAATTTAACATTTTTTTTTAATTTAAAGAAAAAACTTTTTAACCGGATTAAAGTTATGTATTATTATAAATTGACAACTATTTAACATCCAACACCTTTTGTCTTCAGTCACCGTGACCACTCACGCTGTAAAGCACCCGAAAAGTCGGATAAATTTAAAATTATGTTAAATAGTTGTAAATAAAAAAGTCATGTTCGACTCCACTCAATACCTTGTCCTACCGACCACGGTCGGTCGTAAAATTTTATTGCTTTAAGTACGTATACGCTGCGTTGTAATAACAACTTTAAGCAATTCGCGTAAGGTTGATTTTGCAATAATATATGCTTGTAACATATACTGTTATGGACAGAAATATTGTTTCGGGACACTTTCGAGCGTTACTTTTATATGAGACTGTGCATCTTGGGTTTTTTGTATATCAATGAGCTCATTGTCACATGTTCATCAAAGATAAGATACATTGACCAGATAAAACAAGATACATGAAATCAGCTGTAGCAATGTTTACCGATAGCTCCCATGTCGTTTTATTTATTTTGAGACGCGGACTTAGAGAAATACAACTTAGTGACTTTAAAATATAATTAATTCACATTGCTTATGAAACTAAATCATAATCTTTTCAGACATCTCAACTAGGGATGTGAAAAAATAATCGATTATTAAAAAAATCGATTAATAATCGATTATTTTTATAATTGAAAATCAATCATAATCGATTTTTTATCTGCCACCTCCGGACATTATGTCTGGTCTTTTATAACCCGGACCTCGAACTATTAGGGATTAGGGATACACAACGATGTTTACAATGCGATACATTGAATCCGATTCTTTGAAGATGTATTGATATACTCGATACATTGATGTTTTTTTGTAATATTTTACAAAAGGATGATAAAAGCAGTTAATTTTACAAAAACTCAAGTTTGAATGGAACACTATAATTTAAAAGTAAAATAAATTTATTCAGCAGCACAAGACTACATACAATTAAAAAGACAACAAAAATACTGCAATGTGCTACTGAAAAGTGTATTCCACACTCAGCATTTATCAAAATCTATCAAAACGAGATTAAGTTAATTTCGATTATTCTTAAACGTTAATTTGTGTTTATAATTTCTATTGTTTATTTTTAATTTAAAAAACCATGAAAAATAAATATTTAGGGAGTTTATTTTGAAATTAATTCAAAAATTAGAAAAAAATCGATTATTTTTTTAAGAAAAATCGATTATTTATTAATCGATTATTCAATGTTAAAAAAATAATCGATTAATAAAAAATCGATTTTTTATGCAGAATGTCACATCCCTAATCTCAACCTAAAATCTACTTCAAATGTATAAGTACTAAGAAAAAACGCAAAACGGTTTACAGTAATCATTTGTTGTGCGTGGCGCCATCTTGTATGGCAAAGCTTTAATGGAATAACCAGACAATAAGTGTTATTTTGTGACTAGTGAAAAAAAATTAAACAAAGAGTAAATTTTTAATGTATATTAGATTAGAAGAAGAAACCTAATATTTTGCCTCCAAGATGTTTTCTTCTGGCTTCTTCATGATCCATGATACCTCCACTGGTTGTTAGCACTAAGTATCTGTAAAATAATTAAAGAGATATTAATAATTTTATCCACAATAAATTTTCTTCACTAGTAAATAAAACAAATAGGTAGGTTGATTTATTCACCATCCAAAGTAAAGTAACTCTTAACTAAATTTTTTTATTATTTTGAGTATGTATATGTATCATTAGACTTTAATGTAGACTGAAAGCATTCTGGATTATAAACCAAAAAGTTTATTAATTAGTAATTCATGTAAATGTTGAAACTAGTATAACAAAGTTATTTAACACTGGTGACTAGGTACTGAACAGCCTTAAAAATAAAATGTTATATACATAGAGCTTTCCACTGTTAGGACAAGATATGGTAACATTGAATTCACAATATTGGCTATTCTTTTCCAAATTTTCAACATATGCAAACAAATACAAGTGTTGTAATTAAATTTCTTCCTTAAGTTGCTTTACTTGTCTATTTGCATGTTAATTTTGACATTATATCTCTGACATAAGAGAGATGCGGAGTTTTATCGGGTTCTATTTAATCAAAAATTTTGGTATTATTGTTGAAACAAGAGTACACATTGTTGCTTTAACAATGTTTACTATAGAGTAACATCAAACTTAACACTTAAATTTGCACAAGACATTAAATAACAAACAAAAACTTTGGGTGATTTGCAGTAATCATGCATTGTATTTAACATAACATAAACAGTACAATATCAAGTATTGTTGTAACTGTTTCTTATGCCTCCTTTTATTTAAAAGGTTAATTAAGTGATATTTGACTACTTCTTTTTAAGTTTTTGAATGTTGACACTACTAAATATTTTACATGACTTTATGTCCATTCATTTCATTTACCCACTGAATCCTTTGATAATTCCAAACAATAATTGGCACATGATATATTAACATTTTACATGAAATTATTTTACTCAAAAAATGTTGCTCAGTTCCAAAAATAACCAATATATGCAATTTAAATTTAAGTATTAATGTTAGCAGCCAATTGACAAAGAAGTCGGTCATTGATAAGATCCAGGTAAAGGACATAAAGCTTATATAAATACCCAAACAGTTTACAAAATAAAAAAGTGCTTACCCGAATTGACGAGAGGGCAATAAGTTAGTCCACCTTTCTATATCATTGATTGGTACATCAAATCGTGGTGAAATAACTCCGCATTTGTTTAATCTGCCTGTCAAGTTGACGACGATTTTTCCTGCTCTGTGATCGTCTACAATTTCGAATTCTCCAATGTAACCATGCTTCATCATCACAGTAAGAAACTTTACAATAACTTTAGAACAAGGGCGGATGAGCACTTGTCTTTTGCCTCGCTTTTCGGCATTGTGGATTGATTTGAGAGCATCACTCAATACGTTCATTCGCACCATGGCTGTAAAGATTTAAAACATTTATTATAATAACCACTTAATACATGTATTATAACCTCGTAACACCGTAGGCTAAACAATAATACACTAGGGCACTTTACGAATTCCGCACTAAGTTGAAGTCAAAATATTGTTCCCATTACACAAAGTAACCATTAAATACACCAAATATTAATAATTCTAGCCTTATTTTTCAAATAAAAGGATGATTACCTAGGATTTAAAACCCGCCGCAACTTTCCGTAATGACAGGCTAGTTGAAAAAGAAATGTTTTGGCAGTTGAGATCATCTATTGTCAATGTCAACATGTCCTAAGTCAAAATGTTTTTTTTTTTGTAGTTTATTGCCTGGTATCTAGACCTTTAGGCCAACCAAGTCAAAATATGTTTCACTGTAATGTTGCCAACTCGAATTATAGAACAGACCATACATAAATATGACGATAGCCACACTTTCAGATTTTCTATATTTATGGATTATTTCTTCATGAACTTAAAGTTTTAAAATAATAGCCCCCGACCACTTTCACGTGCCAGAAACAGTTATTTTAAAAAAATATTAATATACTAACCTAACCTAACCTAACCGAACAATACGCTACAGCTTGCATAATGCCTGTTCTTTGTTACAGCGGGTGGGGGTTTCTCTTCCTCCGCGCCTAAGGTTTTAAAATAACACTCTAGGGCTAAAACAGACGTTAAATATAAATAAATTGTGCGTGTACTAGGTGTACACACGTAAGAAGTGAAACTTCTTTATGATCTTATTTTTCGAAAAATGATCTACTATATGCTGAACTTTACAGAAATTCGTTAAATTAGATAAAGTTTAACAAAAGGCTTTTATTATCATAGACATGAATACAAATATTTCATTTTACCTTATTACTACGAAGATTATTGTAGAATTTCATTAATTGTAGTAGAATTATTACTATCATTGAAAAACGTGACGATTTGCTACAAAATTTCTCCCAACCTCGATAAAGAAGTTTCACTTCAAAATCGATTATTTTTTTATTAATCGATTAATATTACCATAACTAGCAAAAATACAATAATATTATGAAACACAGTTTATATTTTAAATACTATTTTATATTCTATGGTTTTATTAAATACGATTTTATGGTTCTAATCTAACTAGATATACTTCTATAGCTATGATTAATATTACTCAGGCACTCAGTGGTCTGTGGTCCGAGCACAGATAAGTGATGACAGAATTGAAGTGAACTTCGTTACTGTCCGCGAGTCTGCGACAGATATTGGAACATACGGTTGTGTTTTGTCTCAACTCTTAGCTGTTGAGTTTGGAGCGTCCTTCGGGAAGATTGCGAAATGAAGTTCATGAAACTTTCGAACTTATAAAAAGTTTTTTGTAAGAAATTCGGATATGTCACAGTTTGTTAAAACATAATGAAAGTGTTTTGATTAAATATATGAATAGATAAAGATAATTTTAGTAAAGTTAGCTGCTTTATAGGACAAATTATAAAGTTGAGTGAACTTTTGTACTTTGCTGGCAAATGGTAATCCCACAGGTACTTACGTATCCTTACTGTTGTGGTGAATTCAAAGCATAGCAACGCCTAAAACATGAGCTATTGTTACTTAAAAATATCGGTGTGTATTTGTATAGTTAATAATGAGGTAAACAAATAATGTGCCTGTGGAGTTCTAATATTGTGAGTAGTTTTGTGCTATGGAAGAACTTGAGCGGTGGAGAAACATGTCGCTGAAATTAAAAGTATTTGTATTTGTTGCCTGCTTCGCACGAATTTCATCTTCAGCAGAAAGTATAGGTAAGTATTTTGTTTTGAACACGTTTTTTATGTGAACATATACATACAATGTCTTGTTGCTTTGTACTGTAACAAGCAAATACAGTTAATTCCGTCTTTATTCACTAATTTGATATGTTTTGGTATAATTGAGTCAAAAGATTACTAGTAGCTATAGTCATTCATTCCACAGCGACCAAATTATTATCAATTAAACCGTAAATTATCCTAAAATGACTGATTATAGTAAAATCTTTGAATATTTTTGCTACTACAAAGAATCGAAAAATATATTATTATACATCATTATTAAAGCACATTATCCATAAAACTGTTACTCACCACAATTTAATAATGCTTAGTTAACATGCATATAATGGGAAGAAAAAAGCACAGACTGATGATTACCCACTTGCCTTTAAAGATAAATAATCATAGTATGCTATGCTCTGCAATCATGCTAATGCTCTGCTGTGGATTGATTTAAAGGGGTTCTACTCATTCTCATGCAGACAAAAAAACCTATGTTAACAAGGTACCTTAAAACCTCATTACATCATACTTATATCGTCCTAAAATCCTTATGCTTTAATCTGTGTTAGGTAAACTTTAAAGTCAGCTCCATCATAACTCTTAATGAACTTTGTCTAGTTAAAGTGGTGTTCAAATATTCACCAGCAAATTAACACTAGACAATGACATATTGCTTATTCAGAGCTCTTAGTATTATATTCTGTGGCACAAGTTTATTTCAATGTTGACAATATGTATCACAAAATCTAATGTCATATTAAAAAAACATAATACTTGAGGGAAGGCAAATACATTATTTAATCAGTTTTACTGATCTTTTCTTAATATGATTGGTTGGACATGCATTTTGTATGTACCATGCATACCAATTTTTTTATATGTGTGCATCACATCAAGCCTACACCTCCAAAAAGATTACACCATATAACTACACAATAGTTACAAATTCTACAGAATCCTAATAACATGATGATCCTAATAACAAGAAGCATAGACAATGATAAGGTAAATTTTAATCACCACCGGTTGAGCGCCACCCTCTGATAATACGCAACGCATTTCCACCTCGAATATAAAAAAAAGCGTAAATTTTACAATTTGACAATTTTCAAACTTTGTCGTTATTTTGACGTTTTCGTCTAAACTACTTTTATACTACATATACAATTAGTAATAAGAAAAGCACATTCTTGATAACGGAATTTTATTTGTTTGGCATTTTCATCCTGTATAGCAAATTTGAACCCCCTTACTTAACTGAACAGATGTCTTTGCTTGGGTGCTGTATTTATTCAAATTAACTGCCGTTAAACTTTATCCTATTCTTAACGCCTCTAAATACTGTCAAATACCTATGTTCTTGTTAAATGTATAAAAACCCGTAATGCTACTATGGACCTATTTCAGAGTGCGTAACACTCTCTTCATCATTTTGGTTAGCCTTCCGTGGCGGCAATCGAACTCATTAATTAAATCATGATTAGACGCCATAAACAATATCTACTTGGCCACAGAGACGCATCGTTTTTATAACCGATAAGAATTAGTATTTAACCCGTAGACTGATTCACCTTTAGTACGAGTATTATATGTGTGCAAACTAAAACAAAAGCAATAAGTAGGACGAAGCAAGAAAAGTGAGGCAAACTTTACGAAAGAGTATCCCACAAGGATTTTAGAGATTGTAAAATCCCCCACATCTTTTATATTTACATATTTACAACGCCATCTTCATCAAGAAAATACAAGGATATCCTATTTCTTACAATACATAATATATGTACATATATATGTATGTGTAACTCGGACGTTGATACTTAGAAATAATATGATCAGTTTCGCTGACTCAGTGGCAAGTAGAGCCGTACTCTAAACGTTAATAAAACCTAATTATGGTTTTTAAGATCTGTCAAAACAAGACGATATTAATACTTGAGTACACTTACATACATACGTATGGAGTAGAGACCGTAGATTAGAGTCCTTAGTGCATTACAGCTATAATGAACTTAGTCTATGTAGAACCTACTGCCGCAAGAACGAGACCAGTTTAATAGGAACGTTGGGAACAAAAAGCAACTTCGCATGCCTAACAGCATTCCAGAGTTTAGATTCAAGCACATTTCTGAAATAAACTTCTGGTTCATTCGAAATTGTTTCCGTTTTCTCGGCGTTTAACTACTACTACGTCAATAGGTCGCTACTACGGCTTATGATATGACACTGTGTGACTGAATAACTCTTTGAAAATCCTGAAGGGCTTGAGAGTACTAGCCGTCTCACAAAAATGCATTCAGGAGCACGAACGCAAAGTGCCGTGAACACACATCAATGCATTTTCTTGCTCGATTATCCTGTGTGTAATGAAAAGAGAAACTAAATTTACATATATTTTTCAGGCCTTTTTAACTCAGACTTTTTATTTTATAAATCATTATTTAAATTAATAATTATATTTTTTATTTAAAATCGGCTTAGTTCCTACATTAACGAACTAAATCACTGTCTCGTTTATAAAAATAGTTAGAATAAGGTTTAATGTAATTTTCGTTTTACTAAAACTAAAGTAGAAGTTACAATTTAAATTTCAGTTGAACGTATGCGTATCCAACCTACTCGTAATAAAGGAAAATCTTTGTTGCCATTTGCATAAAACCATTGACCACATTCGAATTTTAAATTTCACTAATAGCAAGCAACTAAGCTAATTAGGAGCTATAAATTCACAAAAGTGCATACTTGTTCATTCTGTATGAGCCATTGGCAACCACGGTAAACATCGTCATAAAAGGTTCTAGCTCTCGTAAATTCAGGAGCGTCTAGAACCAGCTGAAGCTTTCTTGTATGGGGTGTTATTAATATTAAAACGTGTGCGCTGGCCGAGTAAATACGGGCAATGAGCCATCGCTCCTGTTAAGGTTCAATGCCTTTCTCCCTATTTCACTTGTAACCTTATCGCCATTTCAAGAAGTTAGATAACATTTTTAACCTCTTTAGTTTTTACATTTGTAGTTTGTGGTATAATTATTTCACACCATACACGATAAGAGTTTAAAGTATTGTTGGGTTTACGCATTTAAGGAACTACAAATATTTGATATTAAGTGGCTTTTATACATTCAAAGTACCCACTGAAGTATTTCCGAACCAATTCGACTTATGGTCTTTAAAGGAGCGTGCGTA